GTTCTTTGTTGCTCTTGGAAGATAAGCGTGTTTGTCTTCCTATTGTAAATCTTCTATTGATGAGTTAATGAAAGTGTTATTGATAAAAAAAAAATAATAAATAAAAAGTGTCAAAAGAAAACAAAAGAAACCAGTATGGCCTGGTTCGGCTCACGCCCAAGGCCCGGCCTGTGGCCCAGCCCGGAACTGCCTGCAGCCTGCCCGGCCCAAGCCTGTGGCACAGCACGGCATGGGCCCGCATGGGCTTGGGCTGTGGGCCGTGCTGGGCTGACCCCCCAAATTATCCCTGGGGAGGGCAGCACGGCCCAGGACGGCCCGTTTTACTCCCCTAGGCTGTCAATGGATCAAGTGTATCAAGTGTGGGCCAAGTCATTGTAGACCTGGTCCCGGACTGATAAGAAAATACCCAGATCCAGACCTGACCTCAGAGCTGACCCTATTATCAATTGGGCTTATTGGGTTTTACCTGATAAGACCTGGTTGTGATTAACAGGCCTTTACCCTTGTAATTATTTTTATTTTTTGATTGGAAACAGTAACTTTCATTGATGAATTTAAATAAAGAGTACAGATATCACCACCCAGAGGATGGTTGGAGAATCCCAAAACAAAAAAACCTTACAAACAAATCCAAAACAAAGCCTTCCTATTAACTCCTTGCTTAGCTACCCGAATGGCCTTTCAGGGGTAAGCCTTAGGCCTGCCTATCCCCTGAAAGGCCGTTCAGGTAGCCACAGACCTCAAACCCCCCTATTTCTCATATCAGGGGCTTGCAGATAAAGTATGATAGTTACAAAATTGGGAGGTAGCTTTGTCATGTGCTAATACATATATGTATTTACATGATTGATTTAGATCTTAATTGGGCCTAAATGAGTAAACCCAATTCTGACCCTACTGTAACTGGGACTCAAATGCAGACCCAGAACTGATCCTATTAATAATCAGGACTCAAATACAGACCTAGGTCCTGTGTAATTAGGTTGGATTGGTTTAGGTCTGTCAGGTTGATCTGGACTGTTGACAATTCTAGTTGTGTTAAGATTGGTAGCAACAATTACATATTCTGGAAACTTTTATTAATCAGTATATCCAGTGATATCATCCATCAGTGGTTGTTTCTCGTTCTTTTTAATGCACATCATTTTTTTAAGTGTATCTAGACTCTAGAAGCAATATTTTTCCCCTTCTGTCCATTGACCCAAAAATATGATACGGAATTTATAACCTATTAATCATTTTTTTGAATCTGCCCAAATAGTTGGAGCAAGTCTTAGGATGAATTCTAACATTTTTGTCCTTTTGCATTTATAGGTTTTCATGTGGATGACTCAGAAGTTACTTTGAATGTGTGCTTGGGCAAACAGTTTTCTGGTGGTGAATTGTTCTTTCGTGGCATCCGATGTGATAAACATGTAAATACAGAAACTCAACCTGAGGTATGTATGAAGTCTGAACTTGATTGCTCTCTGAGTTTTTATTTTATTTTGTTTATTATAATCAATCACTCTATTAGCTTATTTGTTTAATATTTATCTTTTTTTTTTGATAAACTATTGATAATTTATTCATAATAATTAGAATGAAATTACAAAACAGCCTGCCCAAGGAGAGGCACAAGCTGGTACCTCTCCTCAACAACAACAGAGTACTACATCAGACTAGGAGATGAGAGTTTACAGAGCTGCCCAGAATAAAAGTTCCCTTGATACCCCTTGCTTAGCTAACCCATCCGCTATGGTATTAGCTGTTCTACCCACCCACTGATAATTAACAGTCATGTTCCTTGAAAAC